GTTAGCAGCACGAGCTCTGGAGACACAGAGACTGGGTTTCCATATCAACTCTACTCAAAACCTTCGCCAACTCACGTGACCTCTTTGCACTTCAGTTTCTTCTTTTCAAACAAGGAACAGACCTACTCTACTATGATTATTAGGAAGATTAAAATCAGAATATGGCTGCAGTTTAAATGGAAAATGATGCAAATTATGTTAGTGTGTAAGCATTGATTGCAACCCTGCCATTAGCATATTAGTAATGGGTTTGGAGCTGGCTTGGTACAGTTGATGGTCATGTGGAGATGAATGTTTCTGTAGATATTGTGCATTGTAATTCCTCAGGCAGGTTCAGGGAACAAAGCCTATTCCAATAATTAGCTCATTTGATCTTTAGAATCGCCCCATAAAACTGGCTACCTTTCATAGAAGGGAAAGCAAAGGCTGAGATTTGTTAAGTTGCTTCTCCAAGATTAACAGCAAATCAACAGGACTAAAAATTTGGGTTTGGTTTTTCTGATCCTTTGTCCACAGCTACAAGTTGTGCATCCATTAGACTGGGAGATACTGGAGGACAGGTACAAGTCACAGAAAATGTATAACCAGAGATGCATATAAAATTTCAGAATAGACACTCATATTTATACTCAAGACACTCCCAATATACTCTTGGAACAAAAGTTTCCATTTGGACAGGCAAGGAAAGTTTGGCAAAAAGTTCAGGCTGGACCAGGAAGAGCTGGGCAGAGGAGCAGGGGAGGAGATAGGGTCTGGCTATAACCTTGGATGGCACCAACTTTGAATATAGCTCCCTAAAATTTCCTAGTTCTCATCTGAAAATTAAAATGTGATGGACAGGTTAGTGTGGGATCCAGACAAGTTCAGGAGTGTGGAACTTGCGAAAAGTCCCGCATAACTTGTCTTTGGTATTTCCCTAGGCATAAATGCCTGGCCATGCTTTAAGTTTAAGGGGCCATGTTCAGAACTCCAGGAAGTGTGTCCGACGGCATAAAATTGAACTGTATGAAACTTGTGTGCACATACATATAATTCCACACTCCACAAACCTTAAATTCTAGAACTTCTCATAAGTGAGTGGCTAATAAACACCTTCAACTATGGAGACATACTGGTTAAGGCAATAAGACTTGATCTTTTCATTTTAATTTGCAAGAAAGGCACACAGTGCTCCACGGTATTAAGAAAACATAGAATTGGTCATGCGACCTCTTGATGACTGACTTTAGAGGAGGTGGGAGAACGCCAGGGATGAAGATGACCAGGACTGCTGTGCTGAGTCAGTAAGAAAGGTCTTCCTCTAGGTCAGGACTTAACATGGTGCTCATGACAAGGAGGTACGTTTTACTACATAATGACATGGGGTACCCATTACAGAACATTCAGAGCTCTAGATATGATCAATAGATCCAGAAGAAAAAGATGGAGCCACTATCTAGTGACAGCATAAGGATGGATATTTTGTATCTGGTGTGGCTAAAAGCACCCTGGTAGTTAACTCTGTCAGTGAGGGGCTCCAGGATCCCTTCTTACAATGCTCATACCATCCTGTGCATGTCCGTGCATTCCTGATTCCATATGGCTCCACATTCAATAAAGCCCAGTTCAAACAGCCAAAGGTAATGCAAAAAGAATGCTAAACTTTAATTTTCTTCTCTTTAAACTATAAGAGAATTCCATTTAAATTGCCCACCAATATCTCATATCCCTTTCTGCTTTTCATTTCTCAAGATCTCCCTCCCCCAGTTACAAAACAAAACCAAGCAACCACAACAAAACACCTCTCAGGTTTTGTTGATATTCTCTCTATTCCCTCCTCTCTCTGTTTTGTTTTCAGTTACTAAATGTAAATTACTTTAGCTTTTTTTTTTTCCCATTAAAACCTTCCCTTCATCCTTGGATCTCAAGCCCATTATCTGCCTGTCTTCTAGTTCTGTGTCACAAAAGAACCCCTAACAGGATGAGAAGGACTGTCTTTGGAGAGTGGCAAGGAAGCTCTAAGGTCAATGATCACAAACCCTTCAGAGGGAAAAACTGGGGACATCTTATGTGTGCTGGAAACATCTGTGGCTACAGCTTTAGGGAGAGTTTGAGTCAGTTGAATCTATTAGGAACAGGAAAAAACAAACAAACAAACCCCAGAAAGCAACCATGTTGATGCCTAGGGAAGGCAGGGAAAAGACCCAGGCAAGCTTAAGCTAGTGGAGGGGGTGTAGCAGGTGTTATCCTCTGAGAACTCCTGAGTCCAAGCACTGTAGGTGATCACAGGACACTGAGAAGATGTTAACACCAGGATCCTGAGCTATGTGATGAGCCTGTTATTTGGAAGTTTCTTTGACTTGAATACATCCTCCTTTCAGGTAGATGTAGACAGTATTCTGGCCAACAGTAAGTTGGTAACAGACTCAATTAGTCAGTGTAGTATATACTAATATATATATATATATATATATATATATATATATATAAAATATATATGCACACATACATATATATATTTGCGGCTGGGGCAGCTGGGGACAGAAAAGGTGCAAAAGAGTTTCACTGTCCTTTGGGGCATCTCTAGACACAGGAAGACACTGTAGGTTAATGGAAAGAGTACAGGCCTAGGTGCAATTTCTCTCTTTCTCTCCATTTGTAAATTGTTCCAATCAACTAGGCCAAAAAAAATGTCTTATTTTCTTCAAAAGACACTGTATATGTAAACACTGATTAGCACTCCCCAACATGCAATGCCCAGGTTTTGCCTCTTGGGGAGAAATGGTGATCATGTGATACCTGGTCTGATGGACAGTTTTGATAGACATGAAAGATGATGAAAATACTCAGAGGAGGTTAAAACCACCACAAAGGACTCACTTTATAGTTGCTCCCACCCTGGAAACATAAAGCCTTTTCCTCCCTCCCAAAAAGTCACACATTTCAGAAATAGCTGTGAGAAGGAAGTGAAATCTCTTCACAATCTCACAGATGATGGTGACGTGGGTTAAGCCAGGCTTTAGAAAGAGCAAAATTGGAAAAGCCTATCTGATTTACAAATCGGTAGCAAAGAATAGGAAAATTTCAAGTCTATCAAAGAGGTATTCAGTTCCATTAATTTGGGTACACAATCCCAAACTCACCTCTGCCTCGAATACACCTGTCCCTCTAAGAAATATGTCAATGATCTTACATGTACAATGTGCTTACTGCCCCCAGAGAAATCAAAAGTCATATTCTACCCCACGTAATAGCAGCAGACTACTCACTGGGACATATCATGTGACCATGTGTTATCAGCGATGATGGTGATATGACAATGCAGTGTTGTCCTTAACCCTTTGAGGGCTCTTCATCCCCAATATTAACATAGTACCTCCTTTTCTTATCCCTAGTTTCTCCAACCAGAAAATCAGTAGCTGGATGAGAACCTTAGCTCTTAAGCTATTCTGCTGGGAGCTTGAGGCAAGATAAAAAATTGTCAAGAAAAGATGTCCTCACAGTATGATGTCCTGGCCAGAGGCAGGTATGACTGATCCAAAGCAGAACCATGAGAAACAGACAGAGGGACACCCTAGTGCTTGCATAGCCAAGAGGGGATTGTCTGCATGCGTAGTGGGGATCCTGGTATTTCTAAATCACTGGTGGCTGGAAATTGGGATATTGCTTTAAAAAAAAAAAAAAAACAAACTCTGCATTTTATATTCATGTGGTTCCTAAGGTAGAAGCTGGAATTACTTGTTGGGAGTATTCTGTCCCTTTATTCTGGTGGGAAACATTTGATGAGCATTTTTCATCCTACAGATGGAAGCAAGTTCCCAGCCCTTGTTCTTGGGTCTGACGGACAGTTTTGATAGATGTGAGAGTCGAGGAAGATACTCAGAGGAGGTTAAAATGAACACAAACGACTCACTTTATAGTTACTCCCATTATAAGCACACCCAGAGCTTCAGGCTGAGGTGTTGGTGTTGTTAATAATGTAGAAGGCCCTTTTGCCTGGGAGCAGGGCACAATGTATCACATAGTATTGTAATGTGGATAGATGTGTTGTTTGCTATGACAGACTGAGGAGTGGGAAGGTAGAGACCAAAATTGGGATGCTGGCATTGAAACAGAAGACATGGAGGTGTGAAGTAGGTGTATTAACATGGTAGCAGGCAGGGGCTAAGGGGATAGCCCCTTAAGACTCCCTGTTTAGAGGAATAACCGGTACATCCTGCGCACAGTGGTAGCTGATGTTCATCCTTGATATTTTCTTTCCCTCTCTGTAGTTTCATTGTATTATCCTCAAGCCTTGTGAATGCCTCTTAAACAGAAGACGCTAGTGTAGTAAATCTTGGAAATAAGGGAGGAATCTGCATGTATGCTTTCATGAGAAATGCAACTGGAGAAAACACACAGTATGAGAAAACTGTTTGCTGGTTTTCTCCAGGGAGACATGTTGAGAGGTGACAAGCAGCAGCAACCCAGCTGGGAAGGTTCTGTGGGACAGGGCATAGTACAGAGCCTGTAATAGGACTCTATTGGGAACTCTCACACCACTGTGGGCTTCATCTCTCAAGCAGAGGGCAGCTTGGGATGCTATTATTTGACCAATGGAAATCAGGGCAAATGGAGGTGAGAATGGTAAAACATTACTTTCTGCAACTGTATTTCTGGGCTCACCTATGTTCCTGGGGCTCCTAAGCTGTCTTGATGACATGATTGATTACAATACAGCCATCAACTCCTGCAAGACTCATTTCGTGATACATGGAATCCCACAGTACATAGAGGTGGCCCAGCCATGGGGATCACAGGCCCTGAAGAAGCTGGCTGCCTCAGGACTACCTGCCCGTGTGCAGGCAGCACGCACCCTTCCATCAGCAACACAATGAACCATAGCCTGCCCAAGTATTTCAGGACCTCAGTAGTTACAGATCCCTGCTGGATAATGATAAACAGAGCAAAAACCTGGCCACACAGCCATGCTGGGGTCACCTCGGCTCAGCAGAGTCTTCCGGGCAGCAGCAGAGACTCACCTCCTTTTGATGGTAAGCATCACGCCCAGGAGAATGATGATGAACATGAGGAGGCCGGCGATCACGCCAGCCATCTTCACGGTATTGTCCACCTGCTTCTCTGGCTCCACAGTGTTAGAATTCTGGGTGGAAGCACCTAGGAGAGGAAAGGGATGGACAACAGTGTTGAAAGGGCCCACACATGTCACTAGAAAATAATCATCGTGATAAGAGCTTCCTTTAGTTTAGTGCTAACTATGTGCCAGGCACTGTGCTAAGGACATCCTAGACATTGTCCCATTTAACACCTTTTGAGGATCAAGTTCTTGTGAGGTTGGAATTATAATGAGATTCTTTTGAGATGAAGAAACGGACATGCAGAGAAATTAAGTGAGTTGCCCAAGTTCTCACTTAGGCAATGTGCTGGAGCATCCTGTTCCTTAAGGCGAATCAAGTTAAGAATGTTTTCTCTCATGTTGCTTTGTCCCCAGGATCAAACCATGGAACAGTTCCTGGGCTTGTGGAATTATATCTAGCCCTCCTTTATTCTTTCAGGTAATGGGTTGCCCCATTAAGCTTGATGTTGGGGCAACACAATTTAAATCACTGGATTTTTAAAGATAAAAAGAGTTTTTTGTTTGTTCTTTATAGGAAATAAATGGTAGGGTAAAAAGTTTGTGTATTCAAGGGAACTTAAATACACTTTGGGTTCAAAAAAACACTTAAATCTGATCAGCTCCATTTTTACCATTTAGTACTAATGCAACATGCTCTAGCAGGTGGTAACTTACTGACACAATCCTCAGTAGAGGAAGCAGGTAACTGGCCGCTTATTAGATCCTCAGCCCTGTGCTGGGTAATTTCACTGATCTAGCCTTGTCAATCCTCACAAACATTCCCAAAGACAGATGCTGATTTTCCCATTTTATAGATGAGAAAACCAAGGGAAGTCACTAAAAGTCACATGGCTAATGAAGGTCAGGGCCAGAATTCCACAGGTTTTCTGATTCCAATTTTGGACCTCAATGGTCAGAAACCCTGAATTGAACTCTTAAGTTACTTAGTTCCTCAATCCCTTCTCCCTAAAACAAACATTCTGCTTATGTCATATCAAAGTAAGCAAGCAAAGAATGCCCCAAGTCAGTATCTTCATGCTATGTACTAGGGAGAGAGGCAACTTGTTACTTCAGACATTCTAGAGTGTTCCAGGGGTTCCCAGCACCTTAAATTAATTTCCTCCTGCTTCTGTTCATATTCCCATTGGTGCTAACCATTAAGGTGCAAGCCTTTAAGTGTGATTAAGCTTAATATCCAATCCATCCTTTTCCTAACCCATTCCATTTTTTCTTCCACGTTCACATCAGCTCATTCTTCATCAGCCAATACACTTTCTCTGAGCCTGTGCCCCTGGGAGAGTTTCTCCCTCTTCTCTAAATTCTATTAACACTTTATAACACTTTGCACATGCCTCACAATATCTCTTACTACAATGCACCAATATTATTAGTTATTTGTTTTCACATCTGTCTCCTCCAGTGGTCTGCAAACTCCTCAGAGGCAAGATTATGTCTCGTTTATCTTAGTTTTCCCATGTTAGCACAGACTCTGACTGGTAATAGGGGCTCCCTAAATGTTTGTGGTTGTTTAGTGTTTAGCTAAAGGGATGACGTCTCTGCCCACACACATTTGTTCTCATGGAAGCAAATTGAGTTTTCTCTTTTTTAAAGTCATGTGTTCATAGAACTTAGCTGAGTTTTGAGTTTAAGGAACGCTGCTCCCTAAAAGCTATGGTCCTGATTCCCCAAATGTACTGATGTTTAAGCCCTCCAGCACACTGACGCACCCCTTTCTTTTTGCTTAAGAGCGTTAAATGTTTCCTCTCTCAGAACACTTTTCCCAAGCTGTTGTAACTTAGACATGTTGGGTTTGCTTAGCCAAGTCTTTCTAGTGAGAATGGTAAGTCACCCTATTCATCTCTCTAATGCTAGTGTCTAGCACAGGCCTCCCTCCTCCTCACTGCTGCTTAACAATGATTATAACATAATATGAGGGTGAGTGAACCACAGCTGTGTGCTTTATTTATCCATTCAATCATTCATTACCTTGCCATTGAGTGCCCATGTGCTGTGTGCTAAACTATGCCATCTGTAGAGTCAGGGATTCTCTTCCTAGAAGGACTTATGACTGAGGAATTTTATTCATTCCTTTCACAAGCTAATGGCAAAACCAACTCAACAAATTCCAGGGCTGCCTGAGCAGACTTTGCTCATCTACAGCCTAGAGAATTCCTGAAAGAGTTGGCCACCATCTCTTTAGCAGGGCTGGTCTGATGTTCCGGGGGGCAGGGCAGGGGGCTGGTTCTGAGTAGCTCCCATGCAGCCCCCATTTACCAGGCGAGACATGATTTCTGAGATGTGGCTAATCCACAATGTAGCAAGGATAAAGGAAGGGGAAAATCTCAGATCCCAATTTCCTCAATATTGACAGAGTCTTCTTATTTAGATTTGGAGGAAGGGTTGTCTCTGGAGCATTCACTCATTGGCACAGCCTCATTTTACTTAGTGCCTGCTACCAGGTCCTGTTCTAGAGACTAGGAGTGCAAAGGCAAAGACCCCCTAGAGAAGATCCTATTACTCTGGGAACAATACTATGAGCTTGGTCTAATGAGACTCATACTTCATTCCTTCAGTAAGTGATCATAGGCCAGGCATTTGGTGATACAGTGGTGAGCAAAACAGGCACAGTTCCTGCTCTCAGAGTCTACAATTAGTGGTGACTTGGGGTAGGGGAATACAATTAATAAATCAAGAATCAGTAACAGCAAACTTGAACCCTGTTAAGGTTTGAACAGAGATGCACATAACACTTGTAAATAGATATTGCATAATTAAAAAAAAAGTGAATTGCTTCTTGGAGAAAGCAGCTAATAGGGGTGAGCTCCAAAGGAAGACAGGCTATAACCAGGTAAAGGAATCATGAAAGCAGTATATGGGAGCAGCAGAAGAAATAGTCTTGGCTAAGGCTGTGCAATGGGGCAAACACTCTGCTGTACTAAAAATGAAAGAAATTTAGTATAACCAGGGCAAGAAAGAAAGGAGGGAAGGATGAGAAAGAAGCTGGAGAGGGCATCGTGAATCAGTTCACACAGGATATTACTGGCCACAATGAGGGTTTTTGTTCTTTAACCCAAAGAACACAGGGCATCATTTAAGTGTTATTCAAGGAGCAATGATATGGTCAGATTTGTATTTCCAACAGATAATTCCAGCTTTTGTGTGGAACCGAAGTGGATTGCTGAAATCAGTTTTGAGACCACTGCAAGCATTCAGATGGGAGATGACACTTGCTCAGACTCAGGTGATGACAGCGAAGATAGAAAGATGTGATAAAAGAGATAATTACTTGAAAAAGCTATAGATAAAATCTGTTGATGGATTGGATATGGGGAATAAAGGAGAAAGAACTGTCAAGGATGACCACAAATCTTTGGCTTGCATGATAGTGTGGATGATAGTAATGTTTATGGGTTACAGACACAATGGAAAAAGAAGAGCTTTAGGGGGAAAATATATCTGGGGCAACTTGAGCTTGAGATATACTCCAGAAAAGTATGTAGTCAAAAATGCGATCTGGAGCTTTAAATTAAAGGTCAGAGCTGGAGGCAAAAATGTGTGAGTCATATGCACACAGATGGTATTTGAAGCATGGGTGCCTGTTGATGAAATCACCCTGGGAGAGAATAAAGAGTGGAAGGAGAAACAGGCCTAGCATAGAGACTTGATGGTCAGCAGTAATTAGTGAGTAGAGGGAGACAGATAAGCCTGCATGGGAAACAGGAGTGACTAGACAGCTAGGGAGTACACCTGGGAGAGTGTAGCAACCTAGAGCCAAGAGAAGAGAGTGTTTCAAAAAGGAGGGCATGGTCAACTGTGCCAAAGGCTGTTCCCAGGGTAGAATCAAGTCCACACACAATGGAAAGTGAATATCTTGGGTGAGCATTAGAAAACTTTTCCCCAAAGAATTCTAAGATGTTCCTAAATAGAAGCACCTTCAGCAATGACGATAAACCTACAACAGAACATACTTGAGGGCCACAGAAGAACATTCAGGGGATTCCAGGGGGTTGTCTGAAAGGGCAGAGCCCAGAGGTTTAGACAAATTCAATGAATTCAGCCAACAGGCAGCAAAGCTGATATCACTGACTTTACACAGTGAGGTTTTTAGAAAAATCCATGCTTGGCTGGTCCAACCAGACATCAGATACAGGAACATGCACATGCCCTGGGACAGGGCAAATCCAGCTTTGCCTTTGGCACTCTTTAGGGGAACTTGCCCTAGTCTCTGGAGATTTGTGCTTCTGTTCATAGTGTGTTGACAGGGTTCAAAGGTGATACAGGGAGAGAGGAAATGAACTAAACGCAGGAGAGCATCCACAAATGGCTTCTATATCTGAGGGATGGACAGAGAATGGGAGAATCTTGCTTTTGTGGCAGAGGTAGGTGTGTTCACAGGGGTTACATCTTAAAAGCTCAGTGGAGCAGAATGTGACCTGTGATGGAAGTCATTAGAAAGCACATCAGGGTTGGCTACTGACAGGACTCCTGGCAACGTGGTGGACTTCCCACAGATGCCAGCAGTAGGTCCACATAAGAAGTCTATCTGTCTGACTCAGCAGCCCCAAAATCGAAAGGGGCTTTTCAGAGGGCTATCCCACTGGAAGCCCTTCAGTGGGATAACAACTATGTTACTTTTACCCCAAGTCCATCCTTTTCATGAGTGTCGGGCTTAGTATCAGCCTTAGTCCCTAAAAGGCTGTCTCTGATTCTGGATGGCTTCCGTTTATTAAGCAGGGACTGGGAATTTGAGAACTGAGAGAAGGAGCAGGGATTTGGATGCATCTTCCTCATCTTTACCCTCCAGAAGACCCAATCTGAGAATAGGCCAAGCAAATCAGAATTGGCAATGAGGGAGGCACCAGATGATAAATTTCTCCAATTGGAGAAGCTTTAGGGCTCTACTTGAGTCCCTTATGTTGTGATCATCAAAAATAATCTTGTGAATTCAGTTTGCAATGACAGGAAACTCCTGTTTCCAACATCAGGCTGCAAGTCTGACCTTACAGCCCAGCCAGCTTTGTCATCTGAGCTCTGAGCACTT